GAGCGAGGCGGCGGGCCCGGCCCCGGGCGGTGCTGGAGGACGCAGGGAGGAGCCGCGGCCCTGGGGTGCATCTCTGAGGAAGACTGCTGAGGCTCCCTGGAGACCAGCTGGCCCAGCCTCCTTGGCGCCTCCCCAGCGCCTGACGGAGCCCCTCGGTCCCTGCAGGGGGCTCCCTGCTTCCCGAGGGGGCCCGTTGCAGGCGGGACAGACGCATCTGAAAGAAAACGTGTTCTTTTCTGACCCAGGGGATTAGCTGAGATGCGCGCGGTGAGGGGGAGCGAGGGGCCCCGAGAGCACCGAGGGTCTCGTCCCCGTTAACTGGGCACAGTCGGTGGCGTTTCCTCAGTTAGGAGGGGCCAAGGGAGGGCCACGCGTGAGCGACTGGGAGCCCCGTTGGGGCTCCTGGAGGCTGAGCGGCCTGTTGGACGTTGAGGCGGAAACGCCAGGTAAGCAGCGTTCAGGCCGGGGGCTCAGGCGGGAGAGGTGCGGGTGGGACCCGCAGGCACGTCCGCGGCAGTGGGGGCCGCGGGCGGGGGGCTGCCGCTGGGCCGCAGAGTTCGTGAAGCAAGGAGCCACGGAGGGGAGAGGGGTCAGCCAAGCGAGAGGCTGACCCCCTGAAGTGGGGGCGCCGGGCCGCGTCCGGCGCTGCTGGGAGGTCAAGCAAGACGGGGCCTGAGGAGTGACCCCGTTTAGAGGTTGGAGACTCTGGCAAGAGCAGGTTCACGGAGCGCAGCGTAGAGACCAGGCAGAGACGGGGGGTGGAGGAGCATGGGGCAGCGCAGAGCCTTCGACCCAAGGTATGAAAGAGGCCAGTAAAACCAGCCACGGCCCTTCCACTGCACCCCCGTGCTCTCAGACTTCCTCTGTCCTTCTTTCTCACTCTCTGCGTGCACATCATTACATCCGTGTGTACCTGTAACCTTTTAAAAACACAAGTGGATTGCTCTGTGCACATCAGTTTGAAAGCTGCCTTCACTTAATTGTCCCTAATATGAACATCTATGTTTAACCACCTGCCAAGTGTCAGGAACTGTTCCGGCACCGGGACAGGGCAGTGAACAGAGCACAGTCTCCTTGCCTCCCAGAGCTGGCTCTCTAGGGAGGGGAGCGGGGGACCGAGACAAGAAGCAAATCCAGCAGCAAGTTGTGGTGCGTTAAAGGGTTGTCGCCCGTGGAGATGCGCTGCGGGGAGGGGCTGAGCAGGGAAGCGGCGAGGCTGCTGCCCCCGGCATCGCAAAACGTTGTCTCATGTCAGAAGGCGTCTTTCTGTTGGGAAATCCACCTTATGTCATAAAAAAGGCCCCAGAGAGCATGCGACGCTGCGGTGTTTTGAGAGGCTCCCCGGGCCTGAAGCCTCCCCTGCGCTGGGAGGCGACCTGGGCAGACGTGCGCGACCGAGGTGCTGGGGGGCTTTGGGGTGAGTTGAGGGGCCTGGTCCGTGGGGACCGCGACATGACTTCACATGTGGAGAGAGAGAACTGAGAATGTCGAAGTGGACACACGCAAAGTAGGCAGCAAGCTCTAGGCACTGAGAACAGTATCACAGTGGCTGTGAAATGGGGTCTGAGCTACAGGCTTTCCCTGGGGTCCAAGGAGAAGGAGGATGTAATCCGTGCCTGGGAGCCAGGGCGGGGCCGAGTTGATGGGCGGTGGAGGGAAGCGCACGGCACAGCGCATGTTGGGGAAGCTGCAGTCTGTGCCGATTTATCACATGGAGCAAGGGATGGTGCCTGTGGACGGTGGCTGCAGCAAAGGTGGCCGTCTCCTGTCACCGTGGCCCGTGTCGTGGACAGGGCCCCAGCCGGCCGCTGGCAGGAGCTGGTCCTTAGGAGACGCGAGCAGGGCCTCACACCTGGTGTTCACCCCCCAAGTTAAGTAGCCCAAGAGTGCGTGCCCTACCACTTCTATTATCAAAACCACCGCCAGCAGCAAGGGCCCAGGGCATCTTTCTCAGGCCCACGCCCAGTGTCACCTCCAGCACAGAAAGTCGCACCGTCAGAAGGGGAGGGCTGCTTGGCCAGACGCTGTGTCTCCAGGAGCAGCCAGGCCTGCGCCCTCCCAGGGAGGCTGGAAAGGTGCCGCCTGCTCAGAGGCGAGTCTGAGGGTCTACCTGGGCCTGGAGCACAGGGCTGCCTCATCACGGCCCCTCCTGTCACGCTGACTCGCCCCGCTGTGTCACGCTGACTCGCCCCGCCATGGGATTCCCAGCAGAGGGCCTGCGCCGATGCAAATATTAGTGGCAAACCAGTGAATCTTAAAAACGATGGTTGTTCAGATTCATGTAAATTTTTAAAAAATGTCTGTAAACACTTAAAATATTGTTTTTGAAGACCCAAGATTTTAGCTGAGGCCAGTGGTGGGTGGCAGCTCTGCATGGGGTCCCGAGCAGTGGGGACAGCTGTGAGAAGGGTGCGTCTGGGGCAGGCATACAAGACAGCGTGTCCCCCGAGCCGAGGGAGCGTGTGAGCAAGGGGGCGGGAGGGGGAGCCGTAGCCCGTGGACTGGGCCTGCCAGGGATGGGGCCGCAGGCGAGCGGTGCTTGCAGCCGTATGGCGGAGTTGATGCGTCAGAACGGACAGTGATGATGGGTACACAGAGAGACAGCCCTTTGGGAAGGAAGCTGGAGAGAAAGCAGGGACCCTCAAAGGACTCTGGGCTCCTGGCCGGGGCGGTGCCTGGGCTGGGGAAGGCAGTCGGGTAATACATCAGCCTCCAATATGACACGGGGGGCGGAGGGGGCGGAGGATACGGAGGGGCCAAACCTACAACGCCACCAACACAGAGGGCTTGGCCTGAGATGGTGACAGAAGCAGAGGAGAAACATTGCTTCCAAAAGACGCATCAGCTCCCTGTCTTCCCAGAGACGCCTCTCGGTGTCTCGCGGATGTCTCTTGTTTAAAAGCCAACATGAACTGTACTTTTAAGAGAAAACAAACGCTTGTTGCGAGATGAATGGTTAGAAACCTCGACAAAGAAAAATCAATCATCGACAGTCAAATCTTAAGAGACGCAAACGAGCAAATTATTACACGAGCCGTGTCTTTTTAGGGGCTCGCTCGGGAAGGCTGATGGGGCGATGTTGCCCGGAGAAAATTCTGTTGCCCCGCCAGGCGGGTGTTGCATTCTGCAGCCCTTTGTACTGTAATTCATACTGAGAAGAGGCTGTTTCGTGTAATCGTGTGTGCACACGGGTTTGTGTCTCTGTCTCTGTATGTGGGCGGGGTGTGTGTGTTGCAGTGTGTGCGCACATGTCTGTGTGTGTGTAACACGAAGGCGCAGGTGCCTCGCTCCTAGACACGCAGGTGCACTCATCTGAATACTTCTCCCCCCGTGGCAAGCCCCTTCGGGTTAAGATGGCGCCACTTTGGGTACTTCTGGGACGGGCAGTATCGATCCTTCTTATCTACAAGTCTTCCCCTCAAAAGCGCATCCACTGCCCTCGCACTTCCCCTCTGGAGTGTGCGTCTGTTCGGTGCAAGAAGCATCTCTTTCTGTGACGGGTGTCCCCATCAAATGTGGAACCTTCCCTGTGTCTTCAAAACCGGCCCTTCGGACGGTGCAAGGCGGGGGCCAGGAAGTGGTCTGGGGGAGGGCGGGGAGCAGCCAGCGTGCTGCTGAGGCCTGGGGCTCTGGGCGGGTGTCACTTTTCATGCCTGCGGGCAGCCGCTTGTCCATCCTGCCTCCCGGCCAAAGGTCTGACGTGGTGCGGCCCGTACTCAGCTCTCTGGTGTCTGGTGTCCAGTTACAGCGTACAACGCAGTAGGCCCTGAGTGTTCGGGTGGGGGTCCGGTAACATCCTCACTGCAGGTGGCTGGCCTGTGTGAGTGTTTACAGCTCTCTCCATCTCAAGAGAACAGTGGGTTGCCCGGGTCCTGCCCCCGTGCCCTGCTGACGGTCAGGTGAGCTCCTAAGCCCTGTTCTGCAAGGGGATATCTCATTTTAGTTAGTCTCAGAATTCTCTGCCTCCACTAATAATAATAATAATAATAATAATAATAATAATAATAATAATAATTTGGCCGTATTGGTCCAATGTGCTGTTTTTTGGTCCAACATTGCAGGGATGTGTTTGCGAAGCTGATGGTTATGTGGGCAGGAAGGACGAAGGCGTGCTCGTTAGGGCTGTAGCCCCAAGTCCCAGCGGCAGAGCGCCCGCCACCCCCGGGAGGTCTCACCTCCAGCGCTGGAGGCGCGGCGCTCAAACCGCTTCCTGCTGCTCGGGTCCTGACCGCTGTCCCGCCTTTGTTTCGCCAGGGGGACTCCCGCGCGCGCCCTCGGGCCCAGGAGACGCCGCAGGCATGGCCGACACCGCCAACCACCTGCCCTTCTTCTTCGGCAACATCACCCGCGAGGAGGCGGAGGACTACCTGGTCCAGGGCGGCATGAGCGACGGGCTCTACCTGCTGCGCCAGAGCCGCAACTACCTGGGCGGCTTCGCGCTGTCGGTGGCGCACGACCGCAAGGCGCACCACTACACCATCGAGCGCGAGCTCAACGGCTCGTACGCCATCTCGGGCGGCAGGGCCCACAGCAGCCCGGCCGAGCTCTGCGCCTACCACTCCCAGGAGCTGGACGGCCTCGTCTGCCTCCTCACCAAGCCCGTGCACCGGCCGCCGGGCGTGCAGCCCAAGAGCGGCCCCTTCGAGGACCTGAAGGAGAACCTCATCCGCGAATACGTGAAGCAGACGTGGAACCTGCAGGTGGGCCGCGCCTCCCACGGCTTCGCGTGAGCCCCCTTCCCCTCAGCCACCAGCCTGCCCCCCTCCAGGGGGACGGCCTCTCCGCCTTAGCGGTCACGCTGGAGAGGCCGGGCCCCAAGGTGCCAGCGATGGGGTTTCTCCACCACAGGAAACCACTGCCACCCAGTTCGCACTGGCCCTTTCGAACAGGCGTCACAGGCACATACTGGTTTTTTGTTTTTTTTTTAATTTACCCTAGAAGGTCATACTGTGCACATTGCCCAGCACTGGATTTCAAAACGCCTGTTGCAGAACTTTCCAGATCAGCCAACACACGGCTGCGGCTGACCTGATACTTCCTCCTGTGAACCCTAGTTTATTTAACTATTGACGGATACCCTCACTATTTACAAATAATGATGCTGCTAACATCCTTCTCAACTTCTATGCAGCATCAGCAGGACAACCCTGAACGGGCTGGATGAGCCACAGCGAAGGGGGGTGTGTGGGATTCGGACGTATCGACAAATCGTCTTCCAGGAAGGCCCCGGGGTTGTGACAACTTGCGTTCCTGCCACACTCTTGCTGCCAGGAGCCAGCAGGCTGGTGGACGGTCTCCTGCTCTGACTTACGTGTCCGATTTCCTCGCATCCCCCCCGGGTGTCTGCTTCACGCGTCCTCCTGTGCTGTCCGGTCCGTGTGGATGTGTGACGGCACAGTGCAGGCTTTCTGAGGAGTCTGCACGTCCTTTACTCCTTTCGTATGTCCTGCACTGAATTCAGTCTTGCAGACAGATCCTACTTTCTCAGTATTTTTATTAGTGTTTATCGAATATGTCTCAGACCATCCTTCTACGTTTTTTAAGTCAGGTAAATCAGATTTATTGAGGTGTAGTTTACACCCTCTTTCGGTGTACAGGGCTGTGACTTTTGACAAGTGCGTGACATCACGTAGCCCGCCGTGTAGTCAAAGTGCACAGCAATCCCATCACCCGTTAGGCACTCGCGCCCGGCCCCGGCCCAGCCCCTGGCGGCCCCTCATCTGCTTTCTGGCCCTGTAGCTGTGCCTTTTCCAGAATGTCATATAAAAGGGCCACCCGGCATGCAGCCTTTTCAGACTGGCCGCTTTCACGCAGCATGAAGTCCTGGCAAGTCAGCTGCGTGTCAGCGGCCGCTCTGTTACAGCAGAATCCCGCACCCATATTGCTTCTGCCCTTCGCTCTTTGAGTCGGGCGCCTTTGTGGTATGTCACTGCTGCGGCTTTGGCTTTTCATTCCATCCATGAGGAGACCCTTCCTTGTTCCCCTTCCCTTCCGTCGCCCCCCCGCCCCCTCCGTCTCCTAGTTTGGGGGGCTTGTGGTTTTATTTTTCCCTCCTTCTGGTTCTTCCTGTAACCTTGAATAAGCACCTTGGATTCCTCATTCACTGCTGCGGGGGACAGCGGCGTCTCTCCCGCTGAGGACGAGGAGGACGGGAACTCAGCCAGCTGTCTGCCTCTTTCTCATTTTTGTTTTCCACGCTGTCATTTCTGTGTTGTCGAGGTTCGTCTCCTCTTGCTGTCATCGCGTCTCCTGCAGGTACAGGCGGCAGTGCCTGTGAGCGTTCAGGGTGAGCCGTGTAGAGGGAGACGGGAAAAAGCACATCTCCTTTGCTGCACGCATCTGAAGGCTTCCTGGGGGTGATTAAATGACTAGAGTCTAATACGGAACAATCAGTTCTAGGAGGCGATGGTGGGGAGAGGGTGGGAGGCCCATTCTCTAGACCTCATGGATTATGCCAGGTGGCTTCTAAGGCCTGATGTGGCTTTTAAAAGGCTAACTTCTGCCTTCTAAAATCCATTTTGTTATTTATACACTCGAAGGTACTTAAGTAATATATACGAGCTATCAGCTTTATTTCTTGAATAGCCAGTCAAACAGGTAAATAAATGTGACTGCATTTTGCTGCGTCAGGACTGAGGGCAGAGTGGAAATGCCTTCTGCATCTTCCTTGTCGCCGTCACTCACCGTGTCTCCACTCTCCTCTCCGCGTGGCAGGGCCAGGCTCTGGAGCAGGCCATCATCAGCCAGAAGCCCCAGCTGGAGAAGCTGATCGCCACCACGGCCCACGAGAAAATGCCCTGGTTCCACGGGAAAATCTCTCGGGATGAATCCGAGCAGATCGTGCTGATAGGATCAAAGACAAATGGAAAGTTTTTGTAAGTATTGTGTCTTTTCCCTTCGCCCCCTACCGCCAGGGCTGCCTGGCAGTTAGGGGTAACGCAGCCTCCCCGATCCTGGATTCCTCGTGACCCCAGGGAAGGAGTCACTGCTGCCATCTGAAATGAGCGTGTTGCTCAGCCACACCGTCTCACATCGAAGCCGTCCCACTAATTCGGCATTTGTTTTGCCCAGTCTGACCCCAGAGCAAACACTCTCCTTGGGCCCTGAGGGACGCCGTTTAAAGAAAACGTATTCAGCCACCTAGTCTGCTTCTAATGACAAACGTGAAAGGTGTAACACTGTCTGTGGCTACTCATCCAGACTGAAAACACCTTGGTGGGTCCGCTCAGAGATCTTGCCCCAAGATCTCAGGCTTGATTTCTGTCTTTCCTTGGAGAGAAGTGCTGATAGGGTGGACGGGAAGGAAAATTTGCTGAGAGTCGGCCATACAAGAGATCAGTGCAGAAGCTTGATCACAAACAGGTGCATGGGCTCCAGCCTTTTCCACTCAGCAGTGAGGCGTGCATCCCGAGCTCTGTTCCCCGGAGGTGCTGGAGGTGCAGACCACCTTGGGGCAGGGTTGGTGGTCTGGAGACGGCAAGGTGCTGTCTTGGGCACATGTCGGCCTTATTCCCCCGGTGCTGTGGCCGAGGGCGCAGAGGGGCGTTGGCAGCGGAGGCACACTCGCTCCTGTGTCTTTGTCCCTGCTCCGTGCCCCTCCAGAGGTGCTGGCTGGGGGCCCCATCCTCGCCTTGGACACGCGCAGCAGTGGGACCCCATGGTCAGGCACGGGGGGCCACGCCCTGCTGGCCTTAGGTGCTCTTCTTAGGAATAGAAGTGGTTTCTCTGAGCAGCCGTCTAGTGAAAGAATGTTCCTCATACTTCACCGTAATACCTGTTATTTAAGAAATCCAGACACACACTACTGAATATAAAAGAGACGAGCAACAAGGACGTCCTGGAGAGCACGGGGAAGTCTCTCCAGCTTCTTGTGGAAAATTCGCTGAGCCGTTAGACTTGTGCACTTTTCATGGGTTATGCTTCACTAAAGAGGTTTTAAAAATGAAAAGAAAGAGAAATGATCTTAAGCCCAATCCTCTTTCTCCAGAAGTGATCCTAGAGGGGGCGGGGCACAGCTCAGTGGCAGAGCGCCTGCTTCACGTGCCTGAGGTCCTGCGTTCAACCCCTGGGACCTCCATTTGAAAAGCTATTTTAAAAAAATATAGTAAAAAGTGATCCTAAAAACAAATGCAGGGCGGCCCTGGCTGGCACACAGCGTGCCCGGACTGGTGGTTTCGTGGGTACAGCAGTGGCCGGGGCAGGAATCCTGTGGCAGGCAGGCGTCCTTTTCCCTCAGTGTGGCACCTGGCAGCTCATCCCCAGTGAGGTCTGGACTTTTACCGTCTTCTTAGGAATAGTCTCCAACACAGATGTCACAGGACAGCGTGCGTGGCGTCTGGGCGTGTTAAGTCAGCCCCAAGGCGTGCAGAATCCAAACAGCAAGGCCTCCTGCCTGCTCGCCGTTCGGAACCCCGCTCTCAGGCTGGCTGGGGGGCAGCTGTGCTCACTGAGATGTGGGGTGCTGCCGGGACCCCCCGCCCCGCCCTGAGCCAGCCCCACAGTTGTGGCACCTTCCTCCTGAGTCTTGGCAGGCCTCAGCCAAGTGTCCCTAGAGAATGTGTCTCTTGCCTCCTTTCTGATCGTGTGAACTGGCTTGTCCATCTGTGGGCTTGTCCACTTGTGTCCACAGGAGGCACTGGATGCCGGGACCGTCCTGGGCAGTGGAGAGGGGGGCATCTGCCTGGTGGAGGCTGCATCTCAGTGAGGGAAGTGGGTGCTGAGCCACTGGACAGGAGCCTCACCGTGTTGGAGCATTTAAGGAAGGGGGTAGAGCAGCCGTGGTTGGGGTACCAGGGTCCTGTTTTACGCTGGGTAGTGAGGCAGGGCCTCGCTGCGAAGGAGACATTTGAGCAGAGACCCAAGGGCAGCTGGGAGCCACCCTGACGGAGGAACAGCATGTGCGGGTGCCTGGAGGCAGGAGTGCACGTAGAGAGTCAGGCCACCACGGGACCACCGTGGCTGGTGCAGAGTGAGATGGGGAGGGGTGGAGGGTGAGGGCCAGGCCTCCGAGGGCTCTCAGGCATCAGTCCGTCCGCCTTCAGGAAGGTGTTGGGGCAGATCCGACTGAAGTTCAGCGGGACCCGCCGGGCTTGGTGTAGAAAGGAACCAGTGTGGAGGTGGGAGCCTGAGCCCGTTCGCCAGCCACACTGCACGCACTTACCCCCACTTGAACCAAAATGCGCTGCTCACTTCTCTGCAGTGATTTCAGGGCTTTCACCGTCTCATGCCTGCTTGTCGGCAGGAGGGGTGGAGTGGGTGCCGGTGTCCCTGCTGCGCGGTTCTGCTCTGCCCGGCGGTCAGGGCAGGCCCGGCGTCTCTTCTGCGCAGACAGGCCCTTATTGTGGGGAGCTGGGGTTTACTCGGACGCTGCATTGTCCCCAGCCAAGCTGCAGCGAGGAGGAAGGCAGATTTCAGGGCACGGGGTGCTGTCCGTGGTGAGCGGACCTCACCCCACCGCTTTGCCTGATGTTGACAGTTCCTTGTTCAACCTCGTCTTGCTGCTTCATTTTACGCACTTGGGGCTGATGTTTTTGCTTGCCGTTCCTGCTGGTCCCATTCCCAGCCCTTCTACACTCGATTTGGCTCCCACTGGCCGCCCCCCAACGCTTCTCACACCCCCGCTGCTCCCCTCACCTGTGCACACTCAGAGGTACTTGTCCCCTGCGTGACCCGGTCTGAGCCTTGCCCGGCCCAACGGGCCTTCCCTGGGACCTCCCTGCAGTGACTGGCCGACATGAAGAACCCAGGAGGTTTTCAGATTCAAAACCAGAATCTGATCTTTGTGATTCCTCACGCTGGTCATCTTTGTTAGATTGAAAATAAGTTACTGCATGTGAACGGGTCCTGCCTAAGGTTGAGCGCTTCGTGGAAGGTTAACCGAGAGGAGTCGTTAACGGACAAGGGGGACGGGCCGGGGGACGCACGCTAGTGCTGAATGCTTGCATTTCCCAGGAAGGATGAACCTGAAGAGTCCAGTGCAAAAATACAAAAGTTCGTTCCAGAGTCTCTGGTCTGCGTTACAGCTCAGGATCCCTTCCTGCCTTGGGAAGGCAGTGCGCCTGCTGCCCCCAGAGAACATGGGTGGAGAGGCAGCGCATTCCATGAGGTCTGAGAGCTCGATGAGGTTTTAAACCCTCACCAACGCAGTTTGAAGTGCGGAGGCTCTGTCCCAGAGACGCCTCACCGTCAGGGCGGGCTGTGCCCAGAGATGCCCGCCAACTCCGGTTTTCTCTCCTCTTGAATTGTGCTGTGAAAGCCATTTGCGGTGACCGATCCCCTGCCCAGGGGAGCCTGCCCAAGGCTGTCGGGCAAGTGAGAGGTGAGGGTTGGAATGGGGGGTCCCTGATGTGTCTGGGCTGAGAATGGGTGGCGGCAAAACCCACACCCGGGGACCCCAGGGCCACCAGCCCCAGCCCGCTCCCCCGGGAACTCAGCTGGGACTGTGCAGGAGCGGCTTTGCGAAGAGAAGCCGTCAGGGACTTCGCACTGTGCTTGGGGATACAGAACGTAGGCGTGAAGGCTCTTTACAGGTGAAATGCACAGTGCGGGCCTACGGCCCGTCTCTCTCGGCATTGCGGTGTTTCTGGAGGTGGTTTCGCATCACCTGGCGTTGCGGGCCCAATATTTGTGTCCTTACAGTTTCACCTGGCAGAGCCGCAGCCCCCAGTGTGACAGGTGGAGGTGGGGCCTTTGGGGGATGATTTAGACAAAGCCATGAAGAGGGGGCCCTGTGATGGGACTGTCTACGACAGGACGAGACTGGAGCATCTCTCCACGCCCGCACCGAGGCGAGGCCCTGGGAGCACACGGGAGGTGGTTCACCTTGGGCAGGCTCCCCGCGCCTAAGCCTTTGTCTGGAAACCAAGGGATTCAGAGCATCAGCAGTGAAGTCCCTTCTGCTCAAGCGTTCTGTCACTGCAAGTGAGTTTCATGCCATAACTCAAGGTGGATCCCTAATGAATGGGTTTCAAGTCCTCATTAAAGAGATTTCAGAGAGCCTTCCCCCTTCCGCCACGTGGAAGCGCTAGGAAGGTGGCGTGTGAACCGCAAAGCAGGCTCTCAGCGGACACCGACCCTTCCAGCATCTTGGTCTCAGACCTCAGCCCGGGTCCTGTGGGTGGGGGACCAGAGCTCTGCCTCGTTGGTGACACCAGGAACAGAGGCAGAGCAGACAGGCTGGGTTGGGGGTGCGTGTCCTCGGCTCTCCGAGGCCCCATCCTGACGGCACAGTTTGCCGTTTGAGAAACTAGTCACAGCTCAGGTGTGGTTCGAATACGAATTTGTTAGGCAAGGGAAACAGCTTCCTTTCCAAAAATGTTGCATCCTCTCCCTCAAGGGAGGGTGCTAGGATTGGCGGGGTACAAAACATATGCAATTTGCAGACCCTTTAAAGAAAAGAACACAAAATTTGGCACAAAACACAATATTTTGGGAAGGAAAAAAACACAATAAATTACATTTTTTAAAAGCTGATAAGTACTACAAACATACAAAATTTAGAAAAAAATAGTATCATTTTCTGCTTCAGTGCCTGGCACATCTCTATAGTGCCTTTGATTTTGACATCTTTTGACTGCTTAAGTGTTTGACTGCCACTTCACCGGGCAATAATTTGGTAATATTACTTTCTGCATATCCCAAAAAAGAAAACTCTGTCCTTCCGGTACGTTCACAAGTCACTGTGAGTAATGCAGGTACATCTTTAGCATCGTTGTCAACGCTGAGAAAGGAAGTGAGAGTGGAAGAAAGAGTGGTCTCTGGCTGTAATTAAGTACCTTTTACAGATCATATAAAACCCTCCGGCCGCGTGGCGACATTGCTTGGGCCGGATGAGGCCGTGGGGACAGGCCGCGGTCAGCAGGCCGCCCACCCTCCC